TCACCTGGACGAAGACAGCGCAACATTCTGAAGTGTCTACAGGCATCCATCCGGAGGCTGCAGCACTGTCGCCAAACAAGTCCACTCAAATAAGCGCCACGAACTGGATGCGGGGGCAAAGAAGCATCAAAAGCTTCAGATGACCATTAAAGCGAGACAAAGGAGCTCCAATTCGCACAGGTTGCCAGCTCTTGGGGCTCAGGCCCCCGATAATTGAATTGCTCTGCAAATTGAATTGCTCTGCTTTGCTGCTTCGGGGTGCTTTACCTCTGGTTATCAGGCAAGATGCACAAATGTTCATGCCAGTCGGCATGTTTTGTGGAAGTACATGATCGAATCATCCGACGTGCCTGGTTTAACAAGTGAGGTTGGGAGAGCTGATTCGACCATGTTCGGCATGTGTTGTTCATCACGTTTCCACTGATGCGTGCTGAATGTAGTCCTCGTTCACGAGCCCACGGGTTTGCGTGAGGCGGGTGAGCAACTGGAGAACAGCCTCAACGCCTTGTTCCTCAATGAAGCAACTGGGGACGACAAGGCTCGGCCCGGCAGCTGCGAGCAGTTCCGAGAGCACTCCCCCGAGCCCCTCAAGAGCCAAAATTTGAGAGTTTTTATACGTCGCCTTGGCGAAAGAGCCGGGTGTCCCGTGGGCGCCTTGCGGCTTTTACCCTGAACGACCTAGTAGCCACCCCAATACGCGGAGCAGTGTGAGCGAAGTGGCGCACCGGTGAGATCCAGAAGAACCATCACAAGCCAACCTTTCGCCCGAGGACACAAAAGTCATGGACAAAACAGGTACCCGGAAGTTCTTTGAGGATCTCATTCTGGCCGACTATGGGCCCAGATCCTACAACCTCTCACTTGACCTGAATCTCGCTGAGATCGCAAGATGTTGCACAATTCCGGCAATGCTGTAGAATGAGCATCCTTTTGGTGAAATGGTGGTTCTGGATCGCCACTCTAGTCTCCCAGGTGGCACAAAGAGTTGAGAATGATTATTCTGGACAGGCAGATTTGCGATTGTTGTTTGCATGTCGCTCTCTTTCAGGCTTTGAGCACAGCTGTGCAGGCTCTACGAAGACACCCTGGACATGCAGAAGGACGGAATGCTGATGTCCAAAGACTCGGCGGTGCTGCACTATCGAAGTCGGAGGGGGTTGGGCATTCTCGATCTCTGCACAGCGCAGTTGGTGTCTGGAGGAGCAGGGAGGAACAAGCAAGGGGCTGACATTTCGATCTCTCAAAGCTGCTCGGATTTGAGCGACAGCCATGACGGACTATCATGTTGCCACAGAGGTCACCACAACAAGACTGTGTCTTGTGCGTGTGTGCGTGCGTAAGTCATCTCAGCCATGAACTTTGCAGATGCCCGTGTAACCTTGCCCATCGCTTCCACGGTGACCTCATTCAAACGCGCCAGCATACAGTCTACAATTTAACGTGCAGCTGGCAGGAATGAGGAGGCATTTCAGGCGGTCAAGACGTGTTGCATCAACTTGTCAACAAGA